TGTGATAACGAGATCAGATGTCCGCCAGCTCATGCACTTGAGCAGCATGTGAGAACGAGATCAGATGCCCGCCAACTCATGCACTTGAGCAATATGTGAGAACGAGATCAGATGTCCGCCAACTCATGCACTGGAGCAGAATGTGAGAACGAGATCGGATGTTGGACAGCTCATGCGGTTGAGCAGTATGTGAAAATGAGATCAGATGTCCGCCAGTTCATGAACTTAACAGGATGTGAGAACGAGATGAGATGTCCGCCAGCTCATGCAGCCGAATTGAGAACGAGCTGTAATAACGTGAACATGCTGCCTACGTATTTCCGACGTGCCGTGTTTGCCTGTACACAACCCTGAGCTGATGTGGCTGGCATCCAGCTCTCGCTCTCTGTGGTACGATGAGCTGTCCCTGCGTGTGCCAGACTCAGCTGACCCAGCTGCGGGCGGAGGAGGGCCGTCTGTGTCGGCTGGTGAACCTGGCGCGGCCGGCCTCCATGCCTCCGCTGCGGCCGCCGCCACAGGCTGCCGCCGTCCGCTCCGCTCTCACCGGCATCATCGGCAAGAGAAAGGTAGGGACCGCCACCGGACGCGCCCGCGCCGCGGGGCGTGTTCGGATGACAGAAGTTGGCTGTGTCACTGACTGGTACGTACATCATTTCTTAGCACATTTGACTTAATTTGCGTGCGTGTTTGTACCGGTTGTAGCCTGCTTCATGAGATGACTGCCTTTTGTACCCAGATTAAACGACGTGCAGTCACCAAACAAAGCCCTGACGTGCATGAACGGATCACAACTTTGGCGGGTGCGTGCGCATGTGCTCTTGCTGGGCGTTTTGAGCGGCCGTGCCGAAGACGCCTGTGAGCATGGGCCGCTTGCGCTGTGTCGCCAGCAGAAGGCCGGTCGGTGCGCGGCGCCAGCGCGAGCCGTCCGAGGACCGGAGCGCCGCGTTCCGTCCGGGCCCGCCGTGGAGGACGAGGACGAGGTCGAGGACGAAGAGGAAGAGGCGGCGCAAGGGTCGGAGCCGGAGCGACGGGTGCCGGCCGGTCCGACCCCCGAGCAGCCAGCCGCGCCAGCCGGCTCCCGTCCGACGGCCCGGCGCCGGGACAGCGCGTGCCCTCCCCCGGAGCCGATGGAGGGCAGCTCGGCCCAGGAGCCCGGGACCGGGCCGAAGCGGACCGGAGCGCCAGCGACCTGTGCCAGTCGGTGGAAAGGACCACGGACCCGGTGCCGGCGGCCGTGTGAGCGCGGTGTGGACGACGCGCAGGATACGACGCTGCGGCGCGAGGACACGGTCGCCGTCGGCCGGGCGCTGCAGCCCTTCAACAGGCCGGGCGAGAAGGAGGGTGCCGGGTCTCCGCAGGAGCCTGTAGCGGCACCACGGCTCCCGCTGAGCGGCACCGTCGATCAGCAGCATTCAGAATCTGCACAGCAGCAGGCTGACAAAGCCAGAAGAAAACGTGAGGAGAGGACCAGGCGGAAGGCAGAAAAGGTTTGTTAGCATACCTGCTTTGGGTCGTTTAAGGGGCAGACGATGTATTGGAATGAGGCTACACTTCTGCGAGCGATTAACTTGCAGTTCATGAACCCCGCACGACTCTTGGCTAAGCATCGGCAGGCTTCACGGTATCGTGGACTGTATCATTATCCCCTTGTTTTCGGCATGAAAACCGCGACGTGATAACGCGTGGTCTACGAGCCGTAGAAGTCGCACGTTACCCGCAGTAATCGAAATACGCGCTGCAGGCGCATCTCACCACAAGCTTGTGGCCTTGTCCTGAAACTACCATGCTCCAGTGGGTATCTCCACGGATGATCGCTCGTTTAAACGCGTTGGATGGTCGCGTATGGAGGTGGGAAACATGGCTCGCGCGCGTTGTAACACTGGCCGTGTCTCGAGCCCGATGGGGCTTCACTGAAGGCCCGCCTGACCGGTGACGCGCCGGCAGGAGGTGGCGTCCGAGCCGTACTCGCGGCTCGCCGGCGACGGCACCTACGACGTTTGGGTGCCACCCGCCGACCAGTCGGGTGACGGACGCACCAGCCTCAACGACAAGTATGGCTACTGAGGCGGCGGCCGCGCTGCAGGACGGCTGCCGGCGTCGGCGCCGGAGGACCGCGCCGCCTCGCGCCCGGCGTCGTCGGCCTGACCGGCGGCACGCCGAGTGCGCCGAGCGCCGAGTGTAGCGCCGCTGGTGCTGCCGACGTGCGGTGGTCCAGCATGCATTGTCTGGAGCGCGTCCGGCTTCTTGGGCCAGCGCGCTCTCTGCAGCCCATTGTGAACGCTCGCCGACGATGGGGCTCGAGCGGCCGTTGCGTGACGGAGCTTTCCGCCGGTCGCGGCCGCCCGTCAGCGCCCCGACACGTGCCCCAACACGCCGGCAACTATCAATACATATATTCATTGACAGCACCGCTTGTACTGCTCTCAGCTCGAACGACAACGTGCTTCGCTCTGAAATACCACCCAAACGCTGCACAGAGTAGTGATCAATCCGCCCCAACGACATACACCACGCCAACGAAGTTCAAATGACGCCACCGGCGTCTAGTACACCGCGACCAAAAACGCCAGGGTCAGAAGGCCATCGCGCGACGAAGGCCGGTGCCAAAACGACTTAACACGGGAACCCCACACTCGATATGCTGGGGACAAGCGGGGCTCGGCGGGGCTGTCTGGCGGTCTGGCGGGGCGGCCGGCCCGCCGCGCCGCCTCTCCGCACGCCACACCACACGCTGTTGCGAAAGACCAAACGGGCCGAGCGCGGCCCGCGCCGGCGCCGGCCGCTGCGGCGGGCTCCTAGGTGGGCCGGCACTCGCCCGGCTGGTCGTCGTCGCTGTCTGAGGAGCGGCCGTCCGGGTCGTCCGTGTCCATGTCGAACATCTGCGACAGCAGGTGGCTCCAGTCACACGCCGGCAGTGCGTTGACAGCTGTGTGCAACAAGACGCGGTACGGACGGCAGGGGTGGGCGTCCCTGGGCCGGTCGGCGACAGCTGTGTGCAACAGGACGCGGTACGGACGGCACGGGCCGTGGGCGTCCCTGGGCCGGTCGGCTTCTGCTGCACCCGGATATATAGCACGTGGGCGGCGGCTATCGCCGCTGGTCTACCGCCGCTGGTGCGGCCGGCCAGCGCCAGCACGACGGGTCATCGTGTACCGTCTGCCTGACATCCCCGCGGAAGGATACTTCCGGAATCCACACTACGGCCAAATCCTAACCAGCGAGGTCCACCTGCGACTTCCCACCTTAGCTTCCCGGCCAAAGCCACCCACAGCAGACAGACCGCGGAAAAGACCAAGCCCACGCGTCGCCCCGCCTCAGGGTGCCAGCCGGCCGTCTCCGGGCCGGGCGCGAGCGCACTGACCTGGCGCCGCTGCCGCTGCCACTGCGAGCCGAGCACCTGCTGCATCACCGTCCACATGAGGCTGCTGCCGAGCGAGCCCGTCGAGGGCGAGTCGCCGTCCACCCGGTCACGCAGGTTCGTCTCCACGGTCTGTCGACAGACGGCGAGACGGCCGTCAGCAGACGGGCGGACAGGGGCGCCAACGGCGCGTCTGGTGGGCCCGCCCCGCAGGACTGGCGCACACGCCGACAGGCCGTCGCCAGGCCAGCCGTACTCGCTGGCACCAGCGGCGCCTCGGCCGCCAGCCCGGCCCGCCTGGTCTTTGGCTCGCTTCTCATTGTGCGGCATGAGGGGACGGGCCATGCGCAGCGCCCAGGGCCCCGCACACAGCTACGTCACGGAGCATTTCCGCAAGGAGCTCTTGCATTACAAGTTCAGGCGATAAAACTAATTGGCCTGGAATACGCTAGGGGGCACAGGTGAAACGAAAAGATTAAGCGATAATGGCATAATTGTAAGAATACTCCCGTGCCGTACTGTGCGTCTCAAAGTTATGATAATACACTGTAAATAAAATAATAAACGTGCTCCTTAAACAGCATGGGCTAAAAATGATGTTGACAGGAAAGGTATCCTACGCGACCACTTTCTTCCTTATATCATAGGCTATTCTTCGTAACACACGTAACCGCCACAACCTCAGCTGAAACTTGACATGCCTCCAGACATTTACGCGTCCATATTTGTACACTGTATCTGTATCATTTTCCTGACATTTTCCTCAAGCACCTGTGCCTTCTAATCAATGCACCGCGTGTAAGCTGTCTGTCCCGAATGGGTGCCGTCTCTGCGCGGCGGCCGCTCTGCAGCAGCGGCGCCCACCTGTCGCAGCGAGCCCAGCTCTGGCGGCCCGTCCCTGCTCGGCACCCAGATCTTGACGTCGTCGTCCAGCCCGCTGGTGGCCAGCACCGGTATGAACGGGTGCGGCTCCAGACAGTTGACCTGCCGGACGGGCGGCGAGTCAGGGTCGGGAGTACGGATGCGGCTCCAGACAGTTGACCTGCCGGACGGGCGGCGAGTCAGGGTCGGGAGTACGGGTGCGGCTCCAGGCAGTTGACCTGCCGGACGGGCGGCGAGTCAGGGTCGGGAGTACGGGTGCGGCTCCAGACAGTTGACCTGCCGGACGGGCGGCGAGTCAGGGTCGGGAGTACGGGTGCGGCTCCAGGCAGTTGACCTGCCGGACGGGCGGCGAGTCAGGGTCGGGAGTACGGGTGCGGCTCCAGACAGTTGACCTGCCGGACGGGCGGCGAGTCAGGGTCGGGAGTACGGGTGCGGCTCCAGACAGTTGACCTGCCGGACGGGCGGCGAGTCAGGGTCGGGAGTACGGGTGCGGCTCCAGACAGTTGACCTGCCGGACGGGCGGCGAGTCAGGGTCGGGAGTACGGGTGCGGCTCCAGGCAGTTGACCTGCCGGACGGGCGGCGAGTCAGGGTCGGGAGTACGGGTGCGGCTCCAGACAGTTGACCTGCCGGACGGGCGGCGAGTCAGGGTCGGGAGTACGGGTGCGGCTCCAGACAGTTGACCTGCCGGACGGGCGGCGAGTCAGGGTCGGGAGTACGGGTGCGGCTCCAGACAGTTGACCTGCCGGACGGGCGGCGAGTCAGGGTCGGGAGTACGGGTGCGGCTCCAGACAGTTGACCTGCCGGACGGGCGGCGAGTCAGGGTCGGGAGTACGGGTGCGGCTCCAGACAGTTGACCTGCCGGACGGGCGGCGAGTCAGGGTCGGGAGTACGGGTGCGGCTCCAGACAGTTGACCTGCCGGACGGGTGGCGAGTCAGGGTCGGGAGTACGGGTGCGGCTCCAGACAGTTGACCTGCCGGACGGGCGGCGAGTCAGGGTCGGGAGTACGGGTGCGGCTCCAGACAGTTGACCTGCCGGACGGGCGGCGAGTCAGGGTCGGCAGTACGGGTGCGGCTCCAGGCAGTTGACCTGCCGGACGGGCGGCGAGTCAGGATCACTCGGCCTACAGCGGAGAGCGCCGGGGGGAGGGGAGGGGAAGGCGCCACGTAGGAGACCGGAGTCGAACCGGTGCTGGCCGTGTAAGCCGCGGCGCCGCACGGCGGCCGGGTACGTACCACGCCGTTTTCGTCTCCAGGGACGCACTGGACGATGGCTTCAGTATCCCGGTCCCAGACGAAGATGTTGCCACAGTCCGAGCCCGAGAGCACGTACTGGCTGGTCGGGCCGAAGAAGTTCACGCCCTTGACTGAAAATCACGGCCAGATTGCATTACACACATCACTCGGCCATCCCATCCTCAACAAACAGCCAACAGTGTGCAACAGTGTGCGCAACAGTATGCGCAGTGTGTGTGCAACAGTATGTGCAGTGCGTGTGCAACAATGTGGGCAGCAGCTCGCATCTGCACCATGCCCGGCCAGAACGTTCACACCACCAGGCGCGCCACAGCGCTGACTGGCGGCGGGCCCGCCGGGAGACCGGGCCTGGCGCGGCCGGCGCCCTCACCGGTCCGGCCGCAGCCCCGCCCCACCGCGTGTGCTCACTGGTGGCGTTGTTGCGGTGGCCGGAGTACTGGTGGATGCAGTCGGCGCCGTCCGAGTGGCTCGCGTCGAACAGGTACACGTCCTCGTCGTTGTACGAGGCCACGATCTCGGTGCCGTTGTAGTTGAACACGCCGCAGGTGACGCTGTACCGGTAGCCGGACTCGAGCTGCAGCAGGGCCAGGGCGGCGTCCTGTCCAGGCTCGCCACGCGGAACAGCGGCGCACCACCGCAGCGCACAGTCTCGACAGGGTCCCGGTCGGCAGCGGGCCAACTCTGGCGGAGTCTCCCGACCGTCGGCCCACAGTGGCACTGAGCTCCGCTGGACCCGGCGGGCACC